CTAAATAAAATACAAAAAGGTCTGGGATGTGGCCCAGGGGTTAAGCACTCCTGGGTTCAATCCCTGGAACCAAAAAAAAAAAAAAAAAGGTAAGCAGTGAGGTCTGCAGCCACACCTAAGCAGGGTGCACTGCCTGGTCCTCGGAGCCTCTGCCCACCTGCTTTGCTCGTCATCCCTGACACGGATGCCTCGAGAAACCTTAGTGTATCCAGGTGTGGGGGCACAAGCCCACGACCTCAGCCGCTTGGGTGGCCCAGGCAGGAGGATGGCAAGTTCAAAGCCAGCCCTGTCTCAAAAAAAAAAAAAAGAAAGAAAGAAAAAGAGTAAAGAGGGCTGGGCATGTAGCTCAATGATAGGACACCCTGGTTCAATCCCCAGTATAAGAAAATAGGCCCACTGAAACTGCATGCAGCACATGGCATATGTGATTGTTATAAGAATACACTATAACAATCATGATATAGAAGCTCTGTTGATGATCTCCAAGCTCTTTTAAATGCCCCTGTGTCAATTTCATTGATAAAGTCACAGAATTGAAAATTTGGGACTTAATGGGTTAACTAATCTTTTCTTGGAAAAAAAAATGTGAATTTAGAGAATTACCAATGGATTCTAGTTGACAATTCTTACCTAAAAGCCATAGGCCCACCCAGCAGAAGAAGCCTTGTGTTTGGACAGAGTCCCCTAAGATCAGCACTTTTAGGAAACTTCATTTCTCAGATTCTAGTAGGCTTCTGTCCTGATGGAGTGTGCTAGGGAGATGGTAGGTTCTGGATGGTGCCCTCTGCACCCAGGTCGGATGCCACGTCATCCTTACCCTTGACTCAGTGCTTTCCGTCAGGAGGTCAGTAAGCTGGTKGCTCAGGCATTCCTCACACTACCATTTATGGAGCCTCTGCCCTGCGCCAGGCAGTGTGTGCCGGGGGCACACATGGGAGCCCGGACCACAGCCCCACAGGTAGCTGGCGCTGCTCCTGCTTTCTGGGTGGGGGGAGCGGTCCCCAGGGAGCCAGTGGAGCTGCTGGGAAGGTGGGAACTCACAAGGGTGTACTCTTCCTGCTGCTGCGCCCCCTTTCCCACCGGCCTGGGAGTGTCCTCAGTGGCTGGAAGGAGCCTCTGTGCAGGAGGCCAAGTGCCACATCACAGTGCCTCATGGCTTTGCAGAAACGGGTCTCACGGAGCACCGTGGGGAGCCTACGTGACTTCGTTTGGCAGCTGAGTGGGAGAGGGCTGGAAAGGTTTCTGGGAGTGTGAGGAACAAATACTGCAAGTGCAGTGTGKGTGTGGAGTGCTGGGTCCTGCAGGTCCCTGATAAAGAGCCTTGTCTTTCCTTGAAGCTCCACTGGCTCCCAGGATGGCCCTGTGAGCAATCCCAGCAGTAGCAACAGTAGCCAGGACTCACTTCACAAAGCCCCAAAGAAGAAGGGCATCAAGTCGTCTATTGGCCGCTTGTTTGGCAAGAAAGAAAAGGGCCGACCTGGACAGACTGGCAAGGAACCTTCAGGACAAGGTTGGTGTTTGCAGCAGCCTTCCGCACAGCCAGGGGTGGGAAGGTCGGTGGGTGACCAGGAGCCCCACACCTGTCCCAGCAGAAGGTTCTCCAGGGAGCGGTGGTCGCTCTAGGCCACGTGCTCACAGAGACCAGCTTACCGCCTGGAGTTGGGTGCGCTGTTGGGGTGCGCTGAGAGTGCCTTCGGAACTCTCCACGTTTTACTTGCAAGACTCAGCCTCTTGGTGGGAACACGCAGCTTTGCCAAATGGACTTGCTCTCAATGCAGGACTTCTCTGCTTCCTTGCAGCTGGTGTTTCAGAGACAGAAAACTCATCTCAAGATGCACTGGGACTTAGCAAATTGGGAGGACAGGCTGAAAAAAATCGCAAACTTCAGAAAAAGTAAGGTTTTTATCATTCTCCATCTCACAGTTTCCAGGGTTGACAGTGTTTGTGCTTTAGCTTTATCAGATACCTGTAGCCGTGTGTGTGTGTGTGTGTGTGTGTGTGTGTGTGTGTGTGTGTGTGTGTGTGTCTTTTCAAGAGATCAGCCTAAAGCCTGTGTAAGCCACACTTTTTGAAGGACCGAGAGCATTTATAAAACTTTGAAAGAACTCACCTGTCAATACCCAGTCCACTTGGGAAGGTGGACTAGAGAGGGGCAGAGGAAGGGTTGGGCTCTGCCCTGCACACTTAGAGTCTGAATCACGGCCCTGCCTGGGTCAGCTCTGTGGCACGGGAAGTTTCTCAGCCGCATTGTACTTCAGTTTTCTCATCTGTAAGGCAGGATTAACCGGTGCTCATACCTCAAGTGGCTTTTGTCAGTTTGAGGGATGATGTACACACACCCAGGGCTCTAAACTCTGCCACCAAGTCCTTCAGGAGCTGCAATGTGGTATTGCCCYGTGACTGTTGCCATGGGTTGTGGGCAGTCTGGAGTGCCCTTGCTACACTGCTGTTTCTCCTCCTTTTGTTTTTATGCTCTAGATTTTGTGATTTAATCATTTAGTTTTATTCTAAACTTCAGTTTTGAAGGTCTGGATAGCTCAGTGGTAGAGCATTTGCTTTAGCATGCGTGAGGTCCTGGGTTCAGTTACCAATACTGCAAACAAACAACCCCCCCAAAAAAAAATCAAGCACCTGAATGTTATTTTTCTAGTATTAGGGATTGAACCCAGAGTGCTTTACCATTGAGCTAAGTCCTCAGCCATTTCTTTTTTTTTTTTTTTTTTTTTTTGAGGCAGTGCTCACCAAGTTGCTGGGGCTGACCTGGAATTTGTGATCCTCCTCCCAGGATTATAGGCACTCCTGACACCACTCCTAACCATGTTTTCACTTTCTAGGTGCTTTTTCTTTTTTTCTATTGGGGAATGAACCTAGGGACACTTTAACTGAGCCACATTCTCAGCCCTTTTTATTTTTTATTTAGAGACAGGGTCTTGCTGAGTTGCTTAGGGCCTTGCTAAGTTGCTGAGGCTGACCTTGAACTTGCAATCCTCCTGCCTCAGCTTCCTGAGTTGCTGGGGTTATAGGTGTGTGCCACTGTCCCACCCAGTAAATTAAGTCTTGATTCAGAAAAGAAGAAATAGTTGGAATGGCTTTGGACAGAGGCACAGTAGTTATCGGGGTGCCCTAGAGCAAGGGCAAGGAGGAGCGGTGTGTTTGCAGCTCTGGCTTTTCTCTGATTGGAGCAGGTGTGTGTGTGCTGATCACGTTCAGAACCAGAGTCAGGTGGGTGTGCTGGCTGCCTTGAACACAGTGTTGCCATGCGCTGATGAGGGGAACGCAGTGAGACAGACAGTGCGACCTTGCATGTGCCAGGAGCTTGAACTGCAGACAGCCCAGCTGATCTGTCAAGTGACTGTCCCCAGGGTAGGTATAAGTGGAAGGAAACTGAAAGTGGGGTGGTCRCTCCAACCTTGGGACTTGGTGAAAGTTGACAGGTTCTTTGGGAAACATCATGTGGCCACTCCTCAGCGTCCTGAGGAACCCACAGTGGCCTGGTGCTCAGGGCCAAGGCCCCAGGATGGTGATGAGGCGTGTGGATCTGTGGCCTGAGGCCAGGTGGCCATTAGCCCCTAGAGTTTCCCGTTGTGGAATCTGCTTGCTGTCTTCCTGTTACTCAGAACTGGGAGGACTGTCACAACATGGATGTCACTGCAGGTGTAACAGCATTCTGCTAGCAGCACTGCAGGAATGCCCCTGTAAGTGGAAACTTGTAGAACCCCCTTGAGCACAGAGTCAGATTTGAACATTCTACCTTGAACTATGGGAGAATGGTTCTGCATCACCTAGATAGTCTCGCTTTGGCTATGTGAAGCTTAAAATAAATACTAGGTCTTTTGCCTCTGGAACTATGCTAGGAAAATTTGCCCCCTAGATTCTGCTCATGAGTTTCATTTCACATCTTCCTACTTACTGTAATAAAAATGGCAAGTCTGTGGTGGTGCCACTTGTCCATCCCCCTTCTGCCCTCATCCCACCCTCATGTTCCACATGCAGGAAATCGTATGAGTTTCCCCAAAGTTTTCACTGTTGTCTCAGTTTATTCTGTGATTCCCAGGAGGTGTGTCTGAGCACTTAGATTCAGGACAGCCTTGATCTGCACCAGTGTGTGCTTGCAGTTAGGAATATCAAGGTGCCGCAAGAAGTCAAGCTCTTGCTCAAAAGTGGGTAGGCAAGGTGAATCTTGACTCCTGCCAGAGGGCTAGCAGGTGCACCAGGGTGGCATGCCACCTGCTTACATCTCTAACCTAGAGCATCGCTGCCCTTCTTCCTGATTGGAGGAGTTCAGGTTATAGTCTGTGTGTGACTGGCTAATTTTAAAATTGTGGCAGGCAAAGGGAAGGGCTGTAATTAAAATGGCTATTGGATTAAATTAAGGCTGAATACTATATTCTGAAAATGGACCACTGGACTTTCTGTTTCTCACAGATTCCCCCTCCCCTCACCCCTCCACCTCTCTCCTCCTCTCCCCCATCTCTGTCTCTCTTTTTTCTTTTATACCAGGGATTGAACCCAGACTTGCTTAACTACTGAGCCAGCCTCCTCCCCCTTTTTGGGTACCAGGGATTGAACTCAGGGGTGCTTGACCACTGAGCCACATCCCCAGCCCTATTTTGTATTTTATTTAGAGACAGGGTCTTGCCCAGTTGCTAAGCACCTTGCCGTTATTCAGGCTGGCTTTGAACTCACAATCCTCCTACCTCAGCCTCCTGAGTCCCTGGGATTACAGGTGTGCACCACGTGCCCTGCAGCCCTTTTTATTTAGAGACGGGCTTATTAAGTTGCTTCAGACCTCACTAAGATGCTGAGGCTGGCTTTGAACTTGTGATCCTCCTGATCCTTCAGCCTCCTGAAGTGCCGGGATCACAGATGTGTGCCACCGCACCCAATCCCTTCTCTTTTTATACCTCTTGATTTCATTTTCATTGTATACTTTGGTGTTGCCATCCATCCTAGACTTTTAGGTGGAAATCATCCATGGTAATGAGCTCTCCTCTTCTAGCAGTTTGGGTAGCCATCTTTGATCAGGAGTACTTGCCAAGGTCCTTTCCAGCCTAGTTGAAGCTTCTCTTTCAGGTTTTGATTCAAACAAAGTCTCCAGGCTGGCAGTGATAAATTGCAGACTCCAGAAGGGGACTCTAAGCAGCAGCTCATAATAACCATACGGCGGGGTGGGGGACACACAGATGGGTCTCAAATTGACTCAGAACAGACTGTGACTCTGACAGAGCTTTTTGTGGTATTTGTTAAGCACCCATATTTAAAAACCCTTCCTTTAAACTTTCAGGTTTTACTTACTTTTGGGAGGACTGACACAAATGTACATCTCCAGTTATATTAAAAGAACCATTGTCTTTCCTTTTAAATGCCCATGGATGGATGTGCTTTGGTTATACCCAAGTGATCAAGACCAAGTTGGTCAACACTGACCTTGTCCTTATCTACTCTTAGGCTCAACTGAGATTCCACGGGGAGGACTCTTGGGACCGTGTGAGAAGCCTCTAGGCTCCTTAAGCCTTTCCTCTACCAATTGTACCATCTGCCAGGATGGATCAGGGTCTTGCTGACCACACATGGCTTCCCTTGGAAATGAGGGACATTTCCCCCTCCAGTGACCCTCCACTTTGCAGAAGCCACTGGTTGGCTTTCCATTCTTTAGGGTCCTCTTGATCTCGAGGTCAGGTGACTCACCAGRGTTATAGCATTCTCACTTTGAGGAGTGCCATCTTTCCCTGGGTCCTGGCTCACCTTAGAGGGCAAGGGCCAAAATATTGGATACTTTTTCCTTGGCCTTTTATCTCCTTGCCTTTGGTTCCCAAGTTTGGGTCTTAAACATCCAGCAGGTCTGTCTCACCATTGACTTTATTGTCTGTGATCTTGTAGTTATCTGTTCCATCTAACTGGGGCTAGGGTTCGTAAGGGAGATCAGCCTTATGTTCTGCTCTGTCCTATATGTGATGGCTTATTATCTTGAATTAACTCAGGTCGATCTCTTAGGAGAACCTCTTTCAAACCACTAACATCCAAAAGTTACAAAGTTCTATAAGGAAAGTACAAAATGAAATTAACAAGACAAAAAATATACTCAGTTTGTATAATAGCTTTAAACCAAGAAACATAATTTCTGTAATAACAGTGATATAGCTTTGGTATCTATTGTCTCCACAACGACATATAGATTTATCAACTCAATCACATATGAGACCCTTTACAAATTTTACTTTGTTTTAACACTCTCTTATCTTACAACCTCACATACCTTTTTATAATTTTCCTAAGCCTTTACTTAGTTTTGTATTGTATCCCTTGGTTATTTAGAAATCACAGTGATCTTTCTTTCAATGATCTTTCTTCCAATAAGTCTAGCCTCTTTACATGGAACCCTCCTGACACCGGGCAGGGTTCGAGGCAGAGCCTCATCTCAGGTCAGGTGGGGCTCTTGACAAATCACAAAAGATACATCTAAAACATGAATCAGAAACTAAGACAGCTCCTGATTTTATTTTTGTGGAAAAAGTGGCAAAATGCTTCTATGTTTTACAAGTTAGGCTCTTCTTATTACCTTTCAAAAATCCACTTAGGGCTGGGGACCTCAGCTCAGTTGGTAGAGTGCAACTGGGTTCAGTCCTCAACACCACACACACACACACACACACACACACACACACACACACACATAAATAAATAAATAAATACCCATCGCAGTGTAAAGAGTAACACAAAAATTTATATATAATTTGATAACAGGTTACCTTTATCCAGTTACAGAACATGAAATTATGTAAATAAATATCAACCAAATTTGATTCTTTTATATAAATCTGAAGGAGGTCATTGCCACAGACGGTCTTAGTCTGGAGAGCACCAACTTGGTAAGTACTSTCATAAGCTTTACT